CTTGGGTTTCCGAGGCAGTATCTCTACGGAAGTAGATTGCCCAATCTTCCTTCCGAAGAGTGGCTGGTGGGTTTGAACCTCTAGCCTTCTGGTTAGCAGTTAAAGGCATAGTGCATTAGGCACTGCGCCATCAGAGGGCCTGTTGTTAGCCCAGTGCTCACTTATTCAGAAGCTCAACCTCCACCACCTACCACTCAGCGCCTCCCAGTTACTCTTCAGCAAGGCTGGTTCTGGTCCCCCTCCCGACTAGTCATGAACCCCAGATTCCCCAGCCTTGGGTTTTAAGTAGGAAAGCCTACAACCAATATTTATTGATTGGTCACCTACTGCCAGGCACAAGGAGTTCTGATGGCACAGTGGTTAAGGCATTCAGCCACTAACCAAATGGTTGGTGGTTTGAACCTACCAGCCGCGGCACGGCGGGAGGAAGATGGGACAGTCTGCTTCCTTAAAGATTTAGCCTTGGAAACCCTATGTGGCAGTTCTACTCTGTCCTGTAGGGTCACTATGAGTCAGAATGGACTCCATGGTAGTGGCTACTGCCAGGCCCAGGGGACTTGGTGGGAAGGAGCAAGCCACAGTGTGCCTTCAGGGAGCCTTCAGTCTGAGGGTAGGGTAAGGGGCAGACTGCATTTAAAGGATCATACAAATCTGTGAAGGCTGGCGGTTCAAACCCACCAGCCACTCCTGGAAAGGCAGGTTGGGCAATCTACTTCCGTAGTGATACTGCCTCAGCAACCCAAGGAGAGGTCGCTATGAGTCGGGGCCCACTCGACGGCACATAACAACAACAACACAAATCTGTGATTATGTGGAGGCAAAAACGGAGAGATCCCTTTTATAGGCGATGGGAGGCTTTCGAGGAAGGCTTGTTGAGAAGTGCGGATTCGGCAGGGACTTCAAGGCTGAGTGGGCGGGAGTCGTGCAAAGAACTGGGGAGGAGAAGCGGGGGTAGGAGGGCCCCCTGCAAGGGGCAGGGCCAGGTACACAGCAGGTTCTAGTGACCACCCTTCCCCGGGCCTCGGTTTCCCAATTTCCGAAGTGCGTAAGAACCTGCCTTGCCCTCCGCCCACCGCGGAGGATTGGGGCAGATGCCTGCGTAGCACAGGCCAAGAGTAGCCCGAGAGCCCCGCATCCCGGGGCGGGTCAGGGCGGGGCG